GTGCTGGGGGATTGAACCGCGGTCCCTGATGCTTTTGCTAAGCTTGTTCTAAGTAGGTGCTTTAGACCACTGAGCCATCTCTCCAGCCCCTATTATTATTTTTTGTTTATTTATTTTTCTGTATTTTAGGGAAGGGTTTACAGGATGTTCAGGGTCTCCATAGTAGAGCGGACTTGTAGTGATTCTCCTATTTATAGCCTCTCAAGAGCCTGGATTACAGGCACACACCACCATGCCCAGGCTCAATTACTATCTCAGCACGCCCCAGGGGTGAGGCTGGCATGGCTGGCCCAGGGATCAAATCCCAAGCCGCTTGTAGGCACTTTAATTTGCTGAACTATTTGGCTATACCCATTTTTCTAACTTTATTGTTGACACCTTTTTCCTTATTCTTTTTCTTTACTTTTTTTTTTGAGACATGGTCTCACTAGGTAGCCCAGGCTGGCCTCAAACTTGTAGCAATCCTCCTGCCTCAGCCTCCTAAGCACTGGGATTACAGACATGCTACCATGCCTGGCAAGACTGACACCTTTAAGTGAAATACTCAGTTCTAAGAGACAGAAAAAATGTTTAAGCTTATAAACACTTTGGCCAACTATTAGTCAAAAGGCCAAAATTACTTTCTACAGGCAACTGACCATTAGGAGGATTAAATACATGCCTTCAGTTATAAAAAAATTAAACTAGGGTTGGGGATGTAGCTCAGCAGAACAAACACCTGCCTGGCAAGTATAAGATCCTGAGTACCACAAAACAAGAATTAAACTATATTCATTTTCAGCTTCTAATAAAAAAAAATCTACTTTTAAAAATAGCACAGTCACTGTTACACCAGTACAGCTCCTAAATGAAAATACAGGCTGAGTTATTGTTTACTGTAATAACCCTCCAGGAGGTCTTTGAACCTCATCAGCCACAAGTCAAGCTATTTACACGAATTCAAGACTTGATCTTAGACAGAGGGGTAGTGCAGGTCCTTAACCTTTAAAAAAAATAGACTGAAATTACACTTTTCAGTTACAACAATCAAGACTTGTGTTCAGGAAAACTCTTTAAATATCAAATTTCTCTTCGCAGACACTGTGTCCATTTTCTTCATAATCCTCTCTCGTGACCACCATATCTTCAAAGTGATCATTCTCTGATACCAACTTTCCACCTTCACAGGCATAAGTAATGGAGTTCTCTGGCAGCACAATGGAAACTTCATAATCTGTTGGAGTCAGACATTGAACTTGGGAGTAGACCCGATCTCTAAATCCTGGGAAAGGGAGTTTCTGCCAGTCAAAATGATGTTCTTAAAGAAAATATGGCTTCATTTCTTTAGGTAGGTTTTGTGTAGAACAGACAGTGGCTTCTAGAATCCCCATCTCCTGAATGCCTATGTCAGAAGGATTGAAGAGAATTTCTGGAACAGCGAATCTCTCATTGGCCAAGTGTAGAATTTGTTCCCCAGACTTGTATTTTCCACTCAAAACCATCTCTTCCCTTGGCTTGTAAGAGCCCTTTTTAATTGTACTGAAGTCAGGTAAAACATAGTCTACCATAACAGTATTATGTTCTCCTTTTAACTTTGCAATATCCATCTCTGTAAAAATCCTAGACACATAGGACACATCTTCTTTCACTTGATTAATAACGTGCATTTCATCCATAACATATACGAGATGATCTCTTTCAGGTGGTTGGTTAAGAGTTTTCCTCCCACATTTATCTGAATAATTGCTTCTTTTTTCTTCTTACTTCTACAATAAGGAACTATATGTGTAAAAGAATATCCACTGTCCACAGTAATACAGCACAGTTCAGAAGGATTATCTCGGAAATACCTATGTGCCCTGAGCGCTGCTGCATTTACTCTTAATACCGCTTGGAACTGATATTCTTCAAATAGAATTTCATTCATGGATTCTTGAATTGAAGTGAAGTTAAAATACAGTTCTGTGATAATAGTATTAGTATCTAAAAAGTCAACCTGATACATTTCTTTTCCAAAAAGTTAATCCCAAATTTGTCATTGAACATCCCAATGCACGAGGTAGCCCTTTTGAAAAAAAGGAAGGATGTAAGAGTCCTGAAGAGTGAAAAAGAAAAAAAAAAGAGTCCTGAAGGGTCTTCTATTTCATCTATCTGGTTAGCAGTAAATGTTTTAAGACGTGCTGTTTTGACCTGAGCTGACAATTAGGAGTAACCGAGACATTTTCATGGCTGTAACCGATTTTAGCACTGTAGGCTCCATTATCTAGCACTAAGGTCGTCATTTTGGAACAAGTCACACTGCACCCAACAAAAGCTATTTTTAACAACTGTATTGTCAACATCATACTATCAAAATGGCCATGCTATCAAAACTGATACAGAGATTTAATTCTATTCCAAGCAAGACTCTGGGAAGGTGGCATAAGATTTCCAGACAAGGAAAGTAATGAAGTACAAGTTAGAGGCCTTGAGAGTCAGGACATTGGGCTCTGAAGACCATGCTGGTGTGGCAACCTCCAGGATTGGGGTTGGTGGCTGGGGTGTCTGCCACAGTCTCCAAGTCCTCTAGTAGATTTCATAACATTTTTACTTGGAAGATGAGGACCTAGAAGTTAGATCCAAGAACCAGAGCAAAAACAAATTGTGGAAGGGCTCCAGCAGATAGATAGCACAAAGATCCAATATGGATTGTAGATGGCATCAAGTTAAATTCCTCTTTGGAGGAGTTGACTGAAAAATTTGAGTGAACAACTTTGTAAGTAAGAGAAATATATATTAAAATCTCTAATATATATATTTTATATATTAGAATTTCTAATATATAAAATTTATAAGTTCAGAGGCAAGAGAGCCCACAGTAGTCATGTGCATAATGGGGATAGAATCAAGGGATCTAACAGTTGCTCAGCCCAGGAATGTGGAAGCCACGTAACAAGGGAGATCAGAAAGCAGTGCCAGTCCGAGACTGAGAGCTGAAAATTTGCTGATGTGAGTTTGCATTGAGAGGCTGACAAAGCTGGAGTCTGACGCCCACAATTGATGGCAGCAACAAAAAAAATCCCCTTGGACAGAACAGTGCTTCACTGTATCATCAGTGTTGTCCTTGAGCCCCAGGCCATCGTGCTTTAGTCTGATGAGTGCTGAGATTACAGTGTGGTAGCACACCATGCCCAGCACTTGATTTTTCTTGAAGTTTATTACCAAGGAATTCTTTTATGTCCTTCTGAGACTTGAAAGAGCACTCTGGTGTTTAGATGATGTTCTCATAGCCAAACTGCTTCGGTGTGTCTGGTAAGTGGGGCTTCTCCACCTGTACCTGAAGGTGAGGAAACAGCGCGAGAAGTTAGCAGGGCTCTGGATCTTCCCAGATCTCAGATTTTTCTTATATCTGAGGTTACCCAAGCAGACCCTCCACTGAGTATGCTGGTAATCATTTCCAGCTTGGAGAAGGTTTAACCCATCTTAATCTTGTTGAATGATGAATGTACTAAATATTCTTTGTGATAACTATTAGAAGCAATTGTTTCTATCACTAGGAAACTGCTTTTTAAGGTCCCTGTCTTTTCTATTCTGTTTTGAAGAAGAAGGGTAAGGAGACAGAAAGGTGCTACTGCTTCAGCAAGGGAAAATCTGTTTAAGAACAAGTCTGAAAACTTGTCACCTTAATAGTTTGACCTTAGGGAGAATTCAGGTCAGATTTAACATAGTGAAAACAAGGAACAGCAGCAGCAATCTCTCTTTCTTTTCCTCTAGCTCCAGAGCCAGACGGTGTCTCTTTCCCACACATCCCTTTCCTGCCAGGTATAGCCTGAGCCATGTCCTTTCTCTTCATCCTTCTCTATTTCCATCTAGAATGTTCCTCCTACTCTGCTGTTCCAATTATTCTCTTTTATTCCCCATATAGGTTGTGAATAACCCTAAGCAAAGAAAATGGGGTCCCTAAAAATACCACAGAATATGCGATTTCTGAAACCCAAGAACTTCCAATGTAAACATTCATCAGCAAAAGGGATGGGGCAATTAAGATGAAACTCAGCTCTAAAAACTTACCTTTTTTGGTATTTGCACAGTAGAATAAAGAGAATTTGCTGCATCTTCTCCTGGATAACTTTTCTATTGAAAAACAAACAATAAACAAAAGAAATCATCACCTGCCCACTGAGTCACATGGACAAGAACAGAGAGACATCCAGAATTTGGGGAGGGAAAAACAAGTATGTGGTGATATGGAGAGAAGAAAAAGAGCATTCTAGAATAGAGATGATAGTCAGAACTTCTATA